AAACCAGTCGCTCAATATTAAGTACCGGTGGCAGTGAGCTACGGTAATATAGAATAGCCCAATCATGGTCGTAGCCAGGGGCTTCACCCCCCGCCCCTCCCAGCTACTTTAAAGTCAGATTTTTCGGGCAAAAGTAGTCTTATGATCTAGGTATTTAGTTGATACATGTACTTAACTGGAGAGTAATGTTTTTGGCCCGTCATCTAAGTTAATAGAATCCTACATAGGCCTGTAGTCAGGGGCTGGGGGTATTGGACGAGTCAGGGTTTTTTTTGTGACCTTGTCAAGTCGAATATTTCAGTGTATATTTCAGTCGAAAAAAAGCAGTCGCTTGACTTGATGGTGGAGGACCATACTTTATGAAGCACTAATTGGAGTGAACTAAGATAACAATAAGTAAGACACTGGCTCGCTAGCCTGGAGGTTTGTTCCTGGTATTGGCCAAAAAAGTTCCTCAGGATTTTCCGGGTGGTTTCCCCCTGACAGTGGGGCAGTCGTTTGGATGGGATGAAAAACCAAGGTCCCATGTACACATTGGCATGCACGTAAAAAAATCCCCTGTATGGCATATGCCTGACTTTATTAGCTCAGTCGGTGCACAACAGTAGGACGTTAAAGCCCATTTTATTTCATTGAGTAGCCCTTTCATGCTCATAACACGGTTCCAACTTCAGGGAATGTATCTGGTCGAGTGTGTTCTCTAAGTATCGGAAATGAATACAGATTTTTCGAATAGATCTTCAACACTTTATTTCAAGAGCAAATAAATAACAGCAACAAGTAAACAACTTATAACTTCCTACAAATTGGTCCTCCAACTGGTATCTAGGTTCCCTCAGCTGGTCTCTCCAACTATAATTCATCTTACATACATTTTTCTTTTTATATAAATTAGTTACTATGAAAGTATTGACATAAACATATAATTATTGAAGGATTAAGTCATTTAAACAATAGTAAAAGAAACTTAACAAACCACCCACTTTAGTTATTTAAATCGACTGACAAATTAATTGCTGTCTGCTTCTAATGACTAACCAAGTGAACCAAGATCAATAAGTAGCCTGGAACAACAATGGCTAAGTGAGTAAGGCGCTGGTTCGCTAGCCTGGAGGTCGCGGGTTCGTTCTCGGTATTGGCGGAGACAGTTCCTCAGGATTTTATCCAGGTGGTTTCCCCTTGTCCGGAGGGTGTGACAAAAAGGACAGCTGTCTAGTCTTTTGGATGGCATGAAAAACCAAGGTCCCATGTACACATTGGCGTGCATGTAAAAGATCCCTTGGCAGTTGGAATTCAATATATAAGAGTAGGCTGTAGCGCTACTGTCGGGGCAAAATTTCCCTTGTAGCACACTGTATGGCATATGCCCATCTTCATTAGCCTAGTCGGTGCACAACAGTAGGATGTTAAACCCCATTTCACTTCATTATGTAGCGGGAGTGATTAAGTGGGTAAGACGCCAGCTCACTAGTCTGGAGGTTACATGTAGGTGTTCGATCCCTGCATTGCCCGAAAGAGTTCATCCAGATTTTCCGGTGTGATTGACCTTTGTCAGTGATGCAGGACAGAGGGCCTGACAAGGTTAGCTGTGTAGCCATTTGGATGGGATGACAAAACGAGGTCCTGTGTACACATTGGAATAAACGTAAAAGATTCCTTGACAGTTGGAATTCGATATAAGAGTAGGCTGTAGTGCACTGTCCAGACAAAATTTCCCTCATGGCACACTGTATGGCGTATGCCTGTCTTCATTAGCCCAACAGTAGGACGTTAAACTCCTTTTCATTTCATATTATTAAGTAGCCCTTTCATGCTCATAACATGGTTCAACTTTCAGGGAATGTATCGCGTGGAGTGTGTTCTCTAAGTATTGGAAATGACTACAGATTCTTTGAATAGATCTTCAACACTTTATTTCAGGAGCAAATAAATAACAGCAACAAGTAAACAACTTATAACTTATAACTTCCTATAAATCAGTCCTCCAACTAAGTTGGTCTCTCCAACTACTGTATAATTCATCCTACACACACTTGTCTTTTTATATAAATTAGTTACTATGAAAGTGTTGAAATAAGCATATAATTATTGAAGGATTAAGTCTTAAGCCATTTAAAACAATAGTTAAAGAAACTGAACAGATCAAACACTCTAGTTGCCAGCCTGTCATAATTTATATGGAGTGACAAATTAATTGTTGTCTGCATTAATGAATGTTAAAATATAGATTTGAAATTAAAAATAGAATTAAACAATAATAAAATAACATATGACCTGTACATTAGTCATGTGTATCCACCTTAAAATTATTTCAAACAAAAACATGACCCCATGTTTTAACCATTAATACAATCAAAATCCTTATTTTTCTATTATTCAAAATAACATAATCTATAACTATTTTCAGGATAATAATTTCTATTCCTGTACAAAGGATTCCTGCTGTAAGGCCTAAAATGTCTAAATCTGTGATCTTGAGTCTTGACTACTGGTGCATTTGGCACTAAAACCTGAAACATCTCGCATGGCTGCAACCTTTATCATGGCAATTGGCAGGATGAAACCATTAACACAGGGTTATTAAAAACAGATACATCGTTAGTATCCCGCACATTTTGAACACCCGCATCCTTTTTACTGGAGGTCACAGAAACCTGTACTTTTTGGGCACCCTTCTTTGCAAAAAATTCCATCTGTCGCTGTCTATCCCTTTGTATTTGGGCAAAAGAACGATATTTCTTTTCCGGACGGGGTAATTAATTTTCTGAGAAGTCCCTTTTAAAGCCCATTTAAACCCCGGTTTGAGACTCCAAGACAGATAGTTGATCAAGATTTCTTATTGCTGCTACTGCTGCTGAAGGAAGAATAAAGTTGATATTCATCCTTTCTTCTTCAATATATTATGTACAATTTGACTAGCAGTGAATGTAGCTCTTCGATGTGTGTTCTCTTAGGATCAGAAATGAATACAGATTCTTGCACTGGAACTTCAACACTTTATTTCAGGAGCAAATAGTGCCTACATAACAGCAACAATTAAACAACTTATAACTTCCTATAAATCGGATCCCCAACTACATGTAGTATATAGGTTTCCTAAGCTGGTCTCTCCAAGTAACGATTCATCTTAAATAAATCTGACATTTTAATGTGGCCTCGTCCAGACGATAAAATCCCCCACATATCTCAGTGGATAAAATCAGTCAAACACTTCAGTCGATGAAACCAGTCGGAAAAACAGCCCAACAGTGAACCAAGATAATATAGAGTAGCCCAATGCTCGTTGCCATAGCTGTAGGAGCCGAGGGCTTGGGTGGGGTTTGGTCCTCACCCGTCGCAGGAGATAATTGTACTTAAATAGATACTAATATTGTCGGCCCCCACCTCGAAAAGAATAGTCGCTATATATGACCATAGAAAGGGGGTGTTGGTGGAATGGGAGGGGGCGTGTGGGTGGGGGCGAAAATACTAGTATATGTATCACTTAAGACTTGAAACTAGTTGGGAAGCCTCCCCCGGACCCTACCCAATGCCCCCGGATCCTTCAGTTATGGCTACGAGCATGATTTGCTACCTCATTCCCACACGTCCCTCCCATCCAACCCCCATCGCATCCCCTTTTCTACGGTCATGTCATATATATAGGGAATCTATTCTTGTGGGGGTTGGGGCGAAATATCACATAAGACTTGAAACTAGTGGGGAAGCTCCCCGGCCCCTACGGCATGCCCCCGGCTCCTTCAGCTATGGCTACGAGCATGATTTGCTACTGTATTATCTTAGTCCACAGAAACATGCTCGTAGCCATAGCTGAAGGAGCCGGGGGCATGGGGTAGGGACCGGGGGGCTTCCCAACTAGTTTCAAGAAATGAAATGGGGTGGGGGGGATGAGGTATTTTCATGTGGCCTCGTCCAGTCGATAAAATCAATCAGTTAGTTCAGTCCAATAATCCAGTCGAATAAACCAGTCGAAAAGTTCAGTCGAACACTTCAGTCGAATAGTTCAGTCGAATACTTCAGTCGAATAATCCAGTCGAATAATTCAGTCGAATAAACAAGTCACTCAATATTAAGCAGCAGTGGCAGCGGGCTAAGATAATATAGTAGCAAATCATGCTCGTAGCCATAGCTGAAGGAGCCGGGGGCATGGGGTAGGGACCGGGGAGCTTCCCAACTAGTTTCAAGAAATGAAATGGGGTTTAACGTCCTACTGTTCTGCTTTGAACTGAGCTAATGAAGACGGGCATACGCCATACACTGCTATGATGGAAAGTTTGCCCGGACAGCGGCACTACGGCCTACTCTTTTATCAAATTCCATCTGTCAAGGGATCTTTTACATCCACGCCAATGTATACACAGGACCTCGGTTTTTCGTACCATCCGAAAGACTAGAAAGCTGTCCTTGTCCGCCTCGAAAAGAATAGAGTCCCTATATATGATATGAACGAAGAAAGGGGATGGGGTGGGGTGGGGGGGGGGGCGTGTCAGGATGTGGTATTTGACATTTTCATGTGGCCTCGTCCAGTCGATCAAATCAGTCAGTTAGTTCAGTCGAATAATCCAGTCGAATAAACCAGTCGAAAAGTTCAGTCGAATAGTTCAGTCGAATAATCCAGTCGATAATGTCAAATACCTCATCCCCATACGCCCCCCTAACCCAACATATCATATATAGGGACTCTATTCTTTTGGAGGTGGACAAGAACAGATGTCTAGTCGTTCGGATGGGACGAAAAAACCGAGGTCCCGTGTACACATTGGCGTGCACTTAAAAGATGGGGGCATATGGGGATGAGGGAAAAAGTAAAGCATGACTAAGATAACACCTTAAAGTTTTAATTTGAACAATCAAATTTGAACATGAGGGGACGTAAAAAATAAACAAAAACAATGATAAAAGATATTGGAATTAGTGCGTTTTTTCTTTAACTTATACTGATTACAAACGATTCCAAAATTTTAATAAGCCATCGACCGGTTTATTCGACTGACTATTTGATTTGGACTTAGGGTCGACTCTCTTTTTCTGGTAAGATCACAACATCACATCAATGTTGATTTAAATTAACAAATAATTCGTGTTTTTCAATGTCGAAGACTTTGGATGTTATTGAGTTAGAGACTTTCCTACTTTAAATATCTGCTCATTACTTTAGTGTCTAGTTATTTTTGCTAGAGGTTGTTTTAAACAGCCATTTTCTGTCTTACTTATTGTGTTAATCTTGTTCAATTGTTTTACATCAAGTACTTCACTACTAGTACTTGTTTGGTACATATATTTCATTTTGTTTTCCTACTTGTATTTACATGTCTAGGTTTGTCTTTTTGTAAAATATCTATATTTGTGTAACTTAAAGGATTGCCATCAGGCTTTAACCCATATGCATGCTGTAACTTTTAGATATATACATGTATGTAGTAATGTACTGGAGTGAATGCGTCTAGGCCTCTCTTAAGTTATCAACCTATTGTTTTGTTTTGCAAATAGCTTTAGTACTTCGAGTTATTTCCCCTTGATATGTTTAACTTCTTAAAACAAAGAGGAATTCACTGTGGTCACTTAAATGTTTGTCACATAATTAATAAGCTTGATGAGCTTAAAGAATTAATCAGAAATTTTGATATTTGGTTTTTCTGAAACCCATTTAAATGCCTCCGTGAATGATGAATACATTAGTATTCCTGGCTTCCATGCACCGTTTCTTAAAGACGGCTGTAGCAATAGTTCATCGGGTACGCATTTATATGTAAGAGATACGCTCAATTGTATGAGAAGAAACGATCTTGAACACCCCGATATAGAGTCAATCTGGCTTGAAATAAAATTGAAAAATACGACCCCTATTCTCCTATGCTGCGTTTATCGCAATCCAGCCTCGCGCTGTAACTGGCTTGAAAACTTTAAAGAAATGATTGAACTACCTTGGAATTCTGGGTCTGAAATAATAATGTTTGGTGATTTAAATATTGATATTTTAAATAATAATAATTGCTACTGGCTAGATGTATTATTACTTCTCCTACACAAGAGTCACAAATCACTCATCTACCTTAAGTGATCATGTCATCGTGTCCTCACCTAATAATATAATTGAAACTAGTGTTCCTTCATATTTCATATAGGATCATTATCCATCATGTTTTACATGGAACAAAAAGGGCGTAAAAATCCCCAAAACTAATCATATATTACAGGGGTAGAAACTAACCTGAAATGGTCACTAGCCATTTGCGCTAGTAGCTTTCAGATCTTACTAGCCCAGCCAACATTCTACTAGCCCAGTAAGAAACTGACACCAGACTTAAAAATTCTGTTTTAGACTGTTATTTTGTTCATCATTAATCAATCAAAAACACCAAAATACATGCACTTAAATTTATTTTGGCACATTTAATAATACAACAAATAGACTTTGTTCATTGTTGCCTCTGTTTTTTCATCAAATAATGAATTCATTAATCAGTCATGAACAGGCATCGATATTTCTGCGCACATGCGCACGGCGTGCTCAGGCACATTTGCTTTAAAAAATTTTTTTTGCAGGCACATTTTTAAAGATGTAGCCACGCGCCTGGCACTATTTTTTGCCGCCCAGCACAAAGAAAAAATCGAAGAAAGCAGCCCAGTCGTATTTAAACCCTTCGTCCTTCTCTGTACACAAGAAACTCGGCGCTCAAAATTTACCACGGCAATTAAACGGCAAAGCCATGGTAAAAGCTGACGTACGCAAACCATGTCTGTCACGGCATAATTTATTTATGTGTGCCATAGTAGACCCTATCATCCCAAATTAGTTTAAAGAAAGATGTATTGGTATTTGGTTTATTTATACTTAGAAGATGTGTTTATTTGCCGTAAATAGGTCACACAGACCAATTTACGGCACTCCAATTTTATTTCTTACCTGTGTTGACCGTGGATTTGCTACGGCCCGAGAGTAGGACTAGGAGGACGATGAGAGCTTTCTCAGTTTCTGCCTGACCTGATTCTCATTCCACCGTAATAACAATAATATTCGTGAGACACGTACAACAACTTTACAAACAAGTCAAATACTACGTGTTTTAATTATCAATATCTACCTGTTGTCATAATTTGTTGTACTCAAATAAAACACTAACACCGTTTTAAGAATCGTTTTAATTTTTAATCTCAAAGTAATAAAGTAATATTTGAAAAAAAACCAACAAAACAACAAATACCGAAAGGTCTGAGTGGGGCGGGACAATTTTATGCTCGGTCGGGTGGTGTCAAAAAGTTTTTTGATCCCTGTATCATTGATGAAAATTAAGTGAATTTGGTAAAATTTGAATATATAAATGAAAATTTGAATTGCACTGAACCAAATACAAAAGGCAGCAGATGCTCTGAAAATACACCAAGAAGAGTTTAATTTTCATAAAAGACCATGCGCCCCCCTCCCAAAATTTTTTTGCTTCGCTCCGCTCGCCAAATATATTTTTACACCGCTCGCCAAATCCTGGCTACATCCCTGTGTTTCAGTATGACCCTGCAGGCACATTTTCAAGTGTGTGCGCAGGCACACTAAACTTTTATAGAGCCCTGGTCATGAAGACATATATTAAAATTCAATTTTTAATCTCAAAGTAATAAAGTAATATTTGAAAAAAAACCAACAAAACAACAAATACCGAAAGGTCTGAGTGGGGCGGGACAATATTATGCTCGGTCGGGTGGTGTCAAAAAGTTTTTTGATCCCTGTATCATTGATGAAAATTAAGTGAATTTGGTAAAATTTGAATATATAAATGAAAATTTGAATTGCACTGAACCAAATACAAAAGGCAGCAGATGCTCTGAAAATACACCAAGAAGGGTTTAATTTTCATAAAAGACCATGCGCCCCCCTCCCAAAATTTTTTTTGCTTCGCTCCGCTCGCCAAATATATTTTTACACCGCTCGCCAAATCCGCTCGCACATTTTCAAGTGTGTGCGCAGGCACACTAAACTTTTATAGAGCCCTGGTCATGAAGACATATATTAAAATTCAATTTGGCACATTTCATTTCATATTTCATATTTGTCCTTTGGAAGTTTAATCTTCAATACAATAGATTTTTTCAGGGGCCTCATTTGTATTTATATTTCATTTATGTTTTATAAATTCAGTTGTGATGTGCAAAATAATATGATGTAATGTCCTTAAAATTTAATATTATAAGTTGTCACCGAGTGATGAAGTTATTTATAGCAGAGCACGTGTATTTACGAGTGTCTTCATTGCCATAATATATCGCTGTTATAAAACCTTTTAACATCCATGTTCTTCGTTAAATTGCTTCGTGTATATCAACGATTAGGTTAGGCGATTTATGATAATTAACCTGAAATATGACTGAAAAGTTATTCAATTATATCGACTCCCGCTTCATAATTCATTGAGGTGTAAACAGAGGCTGTTCCGTGTACCCTCCCTTGTTATCATACAAAGAATATCAAGGCTACGGTGCCCTACCTGCAAGCTGTTAAAAATCTTAAAACTAAAACCGCTATGTCCCGCCTTAGTCTAAGCACACATTCCCTTGAAATAGAGAGAGAGGGCGATACAAGAATAGACCTGCACATCTGCGGTTTTGCACAAACTGCCCTCAACAGAAAGTTGAAAATGAGTATCATTTTCTCATTGAATGCAACCGCTATGAGGAACTCCGTAAGACAATTGTTTATGGGGCATTTGAGACCCAAATGTATCCATTTTCATTCGAAAACATGTTTAACCCACCGTTTGCTCTGGCAAACGCAGTGTGCACATTTGTGCATCAAGCTTTCAAAATAAGGGATGTGGCACCCACTTCTATATAAACCAAAAAATAAATAAATATATAAATAAACAACCAACAATTCAAAGACCTCTTCACGTTTAGTTTAAGCGACTATGGCATATATTCAAAACTTTGGTTTATATTTTGCACATACTGCCTCAATGTATGTACATGTAAATGTACATTTCATTCACTTTTATGTATCTTTCATCTACTTTTTATATATTTTTCATCCATTTTTTTTTTTTATGTATTTTTCATCCACTTTATAATGTATTTAGCATGCTGACTGTAATGTATAATTTACATGCTGCCCGAAAAGGGAGTTTTATGTAATAAAATCTATCTATCTATTTATCTACAATTTCAACCAATCAGCAAGCTTGCTTGCTCAGATTTCATACCGGTATGGCGAAATGGAACAGCCAAAGATTAAAAACACATAAATAGGGATGGCGACGATTTTCGGAAGTTAGTTTCATGACAGTGTTCATTAAGTACAAATTATCAATTATTACAACTACCAAAATATCAGGTCGCCACACGGGCTAATTGATTTTGAATTTCAATCGCCCGTACTGACTTTTACTCGCCATGGGCGAGCGGGCGAGCGTTAGTTTCTATCCCTGATTACATATCGATCTTTTAAATATTTTTCTGAATCTGATTATGTAAAAGATTTACAACTCACCCCATTTGATAATGTTTATAGCACAAATGATCCCAATAAAGCCCTAGAGCTGCGATGCAGTAATGACGGGTTTCACTGGTGCCACGTTACCTTAAACATATGTCACTTCCGGTACCAATGAAACCATTAAGCAGGTTTCCACATAAGCATTGCACAGATCAAATAAAATGGACGCCGAATCAACCAAATCCAGCAATATCAATTCATTTTATACATTTATTACATGTAAGTGTACAGTAATTCTGGTGATATTGAAAATGTTCAATTAGATTTATGAAATCAGAAATGGCATAAGGCATCACATGGTGAAAATTTTATGTAAATCGAATAATAAATGCCACTTTTATAGACCAAAAACCTTGAAAAGTGACTTGTAGAAAATCGTCTTTTTGTCTGCAACCGTACTAGTTAGAAACCATTTTTTGGTATCTGTATGATCGTATGGTTTCAATCTATTTGTTGATTGGAATCAAATATCATAATTTTAAGAATATTAAAAATCAGACTCATTTGAATAAAATATCTGTTTTGAAGGCTAAAAATACAGTTTTTG